AGTCCCACAAGAGTGCAGTGGAGGAGAGAGGGCGCGGGGCCCCAGACTCAAAGGCTGGCTGTCAGGGACCCCAGTGTACAGGCCCAGAGAGCAGGGGGAAGACAGCCGGCATGGAGAGGAAGGGGTGGGGGGGTGGGAGGCGGTAACTGAACAGCAGAAGCCCAAGGCTGGCAGGCAAGAACGCAGGCAGGCACAGCCCGAGTGAGCAGGGGAAGGGAAAGGATGCAGAGACAAAGTGGAATTGCCTAGGGGCACCTGTCTCCTCAGTTACTTCTCCACTATTCACTCAGATGGAGGGCTGGTTTTGTGTCCAGAGCTAGGATGTGAGTAAATGCCATTTGAAAACTTCTATCTCAAGAGGGGTTGGCAGGACTATCTCTTCACATGAACGTTTACGGCGGGAGAGCCTGTGACCTGTGCGTGTCTCGGGTTCACCTGATCATTTCTTTTGCAAGTGACAAGGCCTATGGTGCTCTGTGTCCCTGCAGATGGGTGTCCGTCTCACAACTCCTTTGCGCTAAAGTGTCCGTGGTCACAGCCTGGCAAGACCCTGAGAAGGGCACCCTGGGTCCCTCGGAGAGGCGGCAGTGCTGGGCTATAAATATATGTAGTGGCCTTTAACTCGTCCATGTGCGGAACCACTGCCCAGGGGAACTCACACACCGTGGTATATCGGTGTCATCTGGAGATTTATTTTAAAAACAATAAAGTCCGGATGCCTGGGGGGAAGGCAGGAACAGTCTCAAGTTCTCGTGGACTGCGTGGTACCTGTCTAGAGCCACGTCAAAGGCTGGGTGAACCCCTGGAACTATTGTCTGGAGACCATCTTTAACCTCAAACCAAAACCATCCCCTGAAGTCTTCTAAGAACTGAGCCACACAGTTCAGCTTTGAACTTCTTGGTCTTTCACATCGTGCTCTTTTGACTAGCTATCTATACGGGATCAAACAGACCACAGCAGCTCGGCGCCTTGGGAGCAGTGGGCTCACGTTCGTGATGGGCAGGAAAGAGGGACTGCCCACCCTGAATGCAATCAGTGTGCATGCAGAAACCGTCCAATCACTGTATAATATTCTCAACAACAAAGTACAGTGAACCCTCGCCACCTCGCGCTTCAACTTCCACGGCTTCACTCTATCGCGGTTTTTGCGTAACAGCACCCACTGCCTACACCCGCTCCTTCAGAGGAAAAAGACGGCGACCCACCTGTAGAGTACATCCCTTAAGTCATTTCATAGGCTATTGATTA